TCCCTTGAGTTGAGCTCTTCCCTTAGAGTTCTGAATTCCTTGGCCATTCCCTTGTTTATATAGCTCATCGAAAGAGGTTTATATAGCTCATCGAAAGAGGTCCCAATCCAACCCCTGCCAGTTGTAATCCATCTTTGACTTCCTTTCTACCTGTCTATTCCAATGGTCCAGCTGTCCATATCACTTTCACTGCACTGCTAATAACAGATTAATCATATAGGCTAGATCACTAACTGGCATTATTCCATAGAAATCCTGACCCACATCTGTCACATCTGTCAAAACAAAAAGGCTGCAAACACTGCAAGCCACGTGGTCCTCCCAGGAGCAGCATTATGAGGCAAAGATGAGTCAGCTCCAACAATCTGGAACCGGTTTTCCCTTGGTAGGTCATGGGGACATCTGTACTAAGCAGTGCAGTGCCTTTTTAGAGATAGGCGGGCTGGCTCTGAAAAGGTAACTAAAGTACAGGAAACAGTATGGTCACATTAGGGCAGTGATTTGCTCAGATTAATTTACCCTGCTGAGAAACTCATTCACAGCACATTTTGAGCTAGCTTGGGTATCTCTTCACACACGTAAATTTTGCTGTATTAAAATACCTAGACCCACATCGGCTTTCAAACACATTTGCCTCCACGCATCCTCCTCTTCCCCTGCTGTCAAGAGTATTTCACAGTAGCAATTTGTTTTTCCCGAGAAGTGTATGCTAGAGTCTAACAAAACTCCTCAGTTGCTGTCTTGATCTGCTTCAAGAACTGCCTTTAATATGTGGCACCTCATCATTGGTGATGCATAGGGGGTGCACGCAGCTGCATGTGCACCCCCTGCAAAAAGCACTGCCAATGCTGCTGGCGGCACCTGCAGGTAGTTGCTGCTCGCCACTCCTCCTCCCTCGCCACTGACACCACCGGTGGCATCTGCGGGTGGTCCGCGATCACCTCTGGCCACCACTGCCAGCAGCATCTGTGGGTGGTCACCAGCCACTGGTAAGCACATGCCACCTCCGCTACTGACACCGCCACGGCCACCTGCAGGAACTCCCCGCTCAGCCTACCCCTGCCACAGACATCGCGGTAGCTGCCTGTGGGAGCTCCCCACTTGCCACTGCCACACCCCCTCTGCCACCATCACTACTACCGCCTGGGGGCAGTCACCTTGCCCCGCCAGCCTCCGGGGGCATGTGGCATTCATGCACCTCATAGTCCTTTCTACAATGGCACTCTAACTACACTTATGAAATGGGATGTTCTGTTCCTTGTCATCCTCTCAACCCTATACAATGGGTCTTCGCTCTGATCTATTCTCACCTCCAGGGTCAGGTTCTTTAAAATTTCTTTGGTACTGCTGCCTTTGCCTTCAGTGCCTTGCTAATGAAAAGAGACATCGGAAGATCACTCGAAGGGAGGTACTGGCAGACTGTTATGCCAGATATAGGATGTCAGGGAAATGGAAGCTGGAACAAGAGCTGCGATTTTACTTTACAAAGAGGCCTGCCCATGGGCACTCCTGTTAAAATAAGCAGAGGGAACAATTGAGCTCATACTCACGTTCACGTTACGAGTCCAGACATCCCGGATCCAACCTGGATCTCTCATCAGGGGTATCTAAAAGCAAATTTGAAAAGTAAAAAACAAACAAACTGTGAATGATCAAAATCAGTATCCAGTCAATTGGTCAACAAATGCATGCATCAACTACCGTCCCTTGGAGGATCTGCCTTGACACAAAAGTTTCCTCTGCTTTTTTTTTTCCATAAGGTAAGACATGTTACCATCATGCCCATTATAACTTTTCACCTTAATTGAAAACTGGTCTCAAATTCCTCCAACACCAGCATTTTATCTTTGCATCAGTATTGAACATTGTTGTATCACCTGAGTGAAAACACCAGAAAGCACTGTGCCACTACAAACTCTGAAAAAGCAAGGTCCAGAACAAATTCTCCCTTTTGCATGGTGCATAAACTACTGCCAAGGGCAGAGGCAGGGCTAAGACTTGTTTTTTTTTCCACTGAATTTGAGCACAATAGGAGATGGATTCTTTCCTCTGTTCCAGCCCCCTCTGTTATTCTGATGGCATGTAAGTTTTTAGTATGACTCAAGGAGACAAGGGAGAAGTCCCTCAAGGCAAACTGCTACACATAGCCCAGAATCAACAGGATGCCTTGCCTTCCATGGACCCAGGTCTTCATCCTGGAGTAGTCCATCCCTTGCTGCGTAGAACTCTAAGCAGTGAGTCCACGCTTGCACATCAGGATGTAACAGCATGGCTACTGCAACTTGACCTCTTTCTGCAGATGTAGTATTTTTGTATTGGGGAAGATGACTATCTTATTTATAAAGTAATACAACTTGATAAAAATGAACTAATATAAAAAAAAGCCTCCCAAATCAAACAAAAAGAGTGAATCCAGAAAAAAAAATAAAGGAAAAGGGACTAGAAGCCAAAAATATGCTTTACTGGAAATGAGCAAGTTATTTAAAAGATTTCCCCTCAATGCTGATATTCATATATTGCCGAGCTTCTGAGTTCTGCAAGAATTCATACTCCCAAAGTTTTTCTGCACAAATACTTATACAAAATGAATGCTACTTTTGAATTCGTTATTTTGTTACAGAATATACAAAAATGTGCTGGTTACGTTACAGAACAAATAAGAAGGCATGGAATGTTTCCAGTCCTAGAGAGCCTACTGCCTAATTTAGACATGACTAAGCAAGTAAATAGGAAGGAGAATTAGGGCTAGGAGATCAAGGGTGACAGGACTACCTTCTGTAATGAACTCATTCTATAAATAAATAAATTCTGGTAGGTGCAGCTGCTGACAACTCTACCAAATACATGAGTGTAGCACACATTTATATATACTTTATGAATAATCAGGGCAACATTTTTTGTAGGTGACACTGAAAGTGAGGTTTGGGAGGGATCTTGTTGAGGAGGCAAAGGTTGTTAGACAAGAGTTGTTTGGCTTGTGTCTACACTTACACAGAACCTTCCTTTACGGATTGCAACATAACGTTCATATATTAGTTCCCTGAGCCTCACAGCTCCCTTTTGAAGCTTGTATTATTAATTCCATTCTCCAGGTGAGAAACCTGAGGTACACATTATGTGACTCACGTAAGGTACCAAGGCAGTCTACATCAGAAACAGTAATAGATGGTTATGAAGGAGTGAGCGGAAGCAGGGAGAGTGGAGAATGTCACTTCAGAGAGCACCGCTTCTGGAGCTGTTGCCATATAAAGATAAAAGCACTGAGAGAAGCAAAGAGCGGCGGGACCAAAGCTCTGAGAGAAGCAGGGAGTGGTGTGGCCCGATATACAAAAAAGGAGGGAGAAAAAGAACTAAAAAGAGAAGAGACCGAAGAAGGAACCATAGGAGGATTAGAGGAGAGACCTGCAATGTTCACCATTAGAGCGAGAAAGGACAGAAAGAAGGGTGGATCCCTGGGAGGACTCCGTGGGACTCGGGATACCCATAAAAAATAGTAAGGAAAAAAAAGAGAAAGACAAGTATTTTTATTGCAAACTCTCAAGTGAAGTGAATGAGACTACTAGTTAAAGATAGAGCCGATTGGTGTTGTTGATTGTTACCAAATCTGCCCATTACTTTGGGGTGTGCTCATTTATTAGGGATAGTTTCTAGGGTCTTGGTGATTCTGTCAATGTGCTGCTTGTGTTGCTATACGGAGCTGTATCTCTCCCTTCTGCAAGCCCTCGCCCCCAATGGAGCTATCTTGCAGGACTCAATCTCAATGGGACTGGGTTCCTCCAGTCACCAAATCAGTCATACACACAAACACACACAAATTAACGTGACACGCCTGACCTGGCCGGGCTGATCAGCATGGACAGGCTGACACCCTCATATGCCAAGAATCAGTTCATAAGAGCAACAATAAAATGCAGTCAAACACAAGCACACGGGTAAACAGAATCCCTCTGAATCCGGCTGGGTGTCCAGCTGACACCCTCATGGGCCAGCATTCAGTTCATAAGGGCACGTCTGAGTCAAACTGGGTCAATCAGCCTGTACAAGCTGATCCCCTTATGTGTTTCAAACTCAGCACGTCCCAATCTTTGGCCTCTTGATGAGCAGACCCCACAATAATTTGGGCTTCACAGGGATCTTTAGCATAGGTAAAAGAAGCGTTGCTGCAGAGCACGGGAGGAAAGAGAAGCAGAGAAGGAAAAATATACCCAATTACTACCAGTTTGACTATAAAAGTTATTTATTGCTAAGCATATGAAATATATAATAGTACTAGTAGTAATAGACATGCAAAAGAAAAACAAACACCAACAATGACAATACTACCCTGGTTTCACTAAGTATTTGGGGAAACTTAGCTCAAGCTTAACTGATACGTTTTCTTCTTCTTTCCTTTTCTCCTTCTTTCCTCCTGCTGCTGCTTCTTTTTCTTTCTTCTTGCAGCACACACACTTACAGATTTTTATACCCTCAGTTTAGCTGCTTCGAAGCACCCTCAGTAGTGTAAATCATTGTCTTTTCTATTGACAAGGGGTTATCTGGTTTGGACCATCTCAGGAAACTGATTGATAATCAGGAAACACTTAAGATTAGGGAGTAACCCAAATACTTGGGAGCCAGCTTGAAATTCCTATGGGTGGCAGATATACTGATGGGATATCTCATGGTTTCTTCAGGAACAATAGATAGCTTGCAGCATCAGGATTTTGGATTTTTACTTGTTGTGCACAAGCCTCAGCTTAGCATGACTTTTCCAGATCTTACTATAGTCTTTTAACAGACTTAAGACAATTATTGGGGTGCTCATAACCTTTTGTGAAGAGGACTCCCACCAGTCGTCTCGGGAAAGATATGACAACACCTGGGATTAGGGCTCCAGCAGGCTGGATGCTGTGATGAACCCTTAACCATTGTTCAAATGTTGCCCATACCCCCTCTGACTCGGTCTCTTGCCTCAGCATTCCCTAACCCGGCAACCGAGTTTTAGTCGATCAAGTTTAAATAGGTCTCCCATAGTGGGACCGGGGAATGTACGGCCCGAGATGCCTATTAAACTTAGAGCTGTGTGTGTGTGTCTGGGGGAGGAAAAGTCCTTAGTAAATCCAGATTAGAACTGGTCTCATAAATGCTGAGGTGGGTGTGTGTGAACATGGGTTGATTAACATTTGAAGCACAGATTCCCCATCATGCAGCGCTCTCCTGCTTCTCTGGTCCCAGAATTCACTGCAGCCTCTGCTTCAGGCTTTCTGTTTTCCATCTCTCATGTAAATGAGACCTAGGGCAGTTGATTCACTCTTGTCACCCTTATCTGGTGAGGGTCTTAGGTGCGTCTCTCACTGCATCTTAATCAGTTTCGTTTAGGTAGAGGAGGGGAGGTGGGGGGTGAGTCCTTTGTGAGTCAGACAGACTGCATCCTGTGCCCCGATTGCCCAAGAATACAGAGCTGAGACGTAATATGATGGCAACAGATATAAGCAGATTACATGCAGGGAGAACTGAAGAGATAAGATCTCCCTATAAAATTGTGAGACACTGTAACAAATAGAAGGAAAGGAAGAAGATCCGAGTAGAGGGTCAACTCATGAGTCCCAAGTTCTGTTCATTTATGTGTTAACTGTTGCAACGTAGAATTGTTTTGTGTGAAACAAGTTACAAAGTTAATAGTTTAAAGGAGAACCTCCTCAATATGATGGTGCGAGGAATTTAAACAAATGTTGTAAAAGAAAAATAAAGAAAAAGAATCAATTATTTTAAATGGACTGTGAGTGGATATCTTGATTCGAATTCAGTTGTGTATACGAATAAGCGGATCAGCTGATATATACATTTTGCGCATGAGCCTCAGTACAAGGTCCTAATAAGAATAAACCAAAGGAAAATAACCCTCCTAGCTAATAACATCTAGAAGTAATATTAATAATAATAACATCAAAGATGTGGCAGGCGGCAAAGTTGGGGGTCTACCAACAATTCAGGATGTAATGGCAAGCACAGACAAAGGCACCATAAGCAAAAACGCAACAATAGTAATAAAAATTTCTGTACTTTAATTACAAAACCATTCTACCTTTTCTCAGAAGTAAACCAGAAAATATGGATATTACCATCCAGATAGGATGCTAACCTCTGATTATTTTCTGAAACATCTGAGCTTACAGTGTGCACAGGTTGGGTTTATTGTTACATTATTCCCTATTATGTTTGCCCTTTCAGGTTCATGATACTGCCTTGATACTTTGGCAGTCAATTAATTAATCAAATAGCATAGACTGAAAGTATTATACAAAATGATCATGCGCTGATAATGCTATTTAATTAGATAATATGAGACATCAAACTTTGGCCTCATCATGTATTTATTTATATGGTATTTTTCTAGTTTAGTTTTCTAATGTATTGATTGGGGTTTTTTTTCTTTTCACCTATTGTTATCCTGATTTTGAATAGGACTGGACCAGACAGAATAGCAAAGGTAATTTCAGGATTGTCTGGACATTATCTGGAAACCATTATATCTTTGTCTGTTCGTTTTGACATACAACCTGCTTGGTGCAATCTGTCAGTCTTCAAGAGGGGACATAGAAGG